TCGCGGCAATATTGAAGATTGCACCTCCAGTGAAGGCTGAAAGGGACAGACAGTTTTGCTTGTGTTGATGGTGAGCCCGAATTTGGCCGCTGTCGAAGTCAGAGCACTAGTCATGTGCTGCAACTCATCCGCGCTGTGTGCAAACAACGCACAGTCGTCAGCAAACAGCAACATACGGATAGTTGTCTCACAGACTAGAGTTCTCGCACCGAAACGACGGATGCTCGGCAATCCGCCATCAATACCGTGCTCCACACGAACAACGTAAGCACAAGCGGCAACAAAAAAAGACATCATAGCATGAAGACAAATATTAAACAGGGCAGGAGCTAACACAGCTTTCCTTACACCAGAAACGAATGCAAAGTCCTCTGAGGTCTCTCCACTCAGATGCATACCACTGTGCACATGTTCACTTCAATTTACACTTACTCGGACAACCAAGGGCTGGTGTCGTTCTCTGCACTTCTCCTGCAACTAGCGAGTCGCAAGCACCATATCGATGGTGCTGTTGCCCGAACGGAATCCACATCCCTCTTCCGCTACGTTCGGCTCCACAACCTGACGAGACGGTTGAGCAGGAGTAGGGTAATCACCCTACATACACCACTCAGCAAGTTGATGCTACGATAATTCGTACAACAATGCTTGCTACCTTTGCCCTTGTACAGCGGTAGCACAAGGGCATCCTTCGGCTCAAGTGGCACCTCCTCCTTAATCCACTCGCGTTGCACCGACTGGTGCAGCGCAGTCACCAATGTGGGTCCGCCGTGTTTCAATACGTCAGGCGGGATCTCGTCAACACTGGCACACTTGCCGTTTCGCAGCTGAGCAAGTACTTTCTGCGTCTCATTTAGTGTCGGCGTGTTCGCCAAACTCACCTTCACATCGTGCTGCTTCAGGCCGTTCAATGTAGCCCAGTCAATCTCGCAACGGTTGTTCAAGAGACAGCCAGAGTGATTTCGCCAGATCTGCATTTTGTCTGCAGTCCTTGCGCAGGTAGCACCTGAAGTAACATCGAGCAGCGTCCTCAGCGGCTCCAACCTCGGTCCGTACACCACCATCAAGGAGTCAAAGAATTCCTTGTGTTGGCGGCGTTCAGCGTAGCATTCCATCTGTTTCGCCTTCTCCGTCAACCATGCATCTTTAATGCGACTGAGCTCTCGGGTCAGTCGCCGTCTATTTCTGCGAAATTCATTCTCCTTCTCCAAGTCGCTGGGATCTGCCTCATGTGCATCAAATGTTACATTCTTTTCTGATACCAATGCGCCAATCGCCGCATTGCTCTCATCAAACCAATCGGGCTGCTTACAGTTTGTGCGTTCAACGGTCTCCACGGCAGCAGTTGTCACCTGGTAGCGAATGTGGTGCCACAGGTTGTCTACTGTGGTGGTGCAGTCCACATAACACAGGCGTGCAGCCATCGTCTTCTCCAGCTCAGTACGTTTCGCCACAGTACCGAGGGAGAGAATGTTAAATTTACGCCGATTCACGGCGGAAGTGCAATACACAGATTTACGAAAATATATGTACAGTTTGGTCCGAACCAATTTGTGATCAGTGCCACACTCAGCTCCACGCAGTACACGTGTCATGCGCACTTCACGCATATCACGCTGACGTACGATGACATAGTCGAGCAGGTGAGCGTGACCACTCCGTGGGTGCGTCCAAGTTGCTATATCACTCGCACTCAGTGCAAACCGAGTGTTCGTGATCGTCAGGCCGTGAGTGGCACACAGTGAGAGCAGCCTGTCACCGTTCGCATTCGCTGAACCAATGCCATGCGGACTGTTGTCATCTATCCAGACCGATGCATCACGCCCAATGTGTGTGTTGAAATCACCCAGCAGAAATAGTCGGTCGCTCCTCGGCACAGACCGTATCACGGAGGATAGTTGGGTGTAGGACTGATCACGCATGTCATCAGGATAACACATGGTTTAACCGTAGGTGCTCATAAAAGTGGAAACACCTCTTCCGAGTCGTAGGCGAGCAGTCATCAGTCGCGCGCTGATGCCATTGGGCTCACCATCCAGCTGGCCATTGAGGCGATCGGATATTGCAAATTCGACCCCATGTTCAGTGGTGCTGAGGTGGCGTTTCCCATGCAGTAGAACGTATAGCCGGCGCCCGCTTCATATAAGTTTCCCTGCTCAGTGAGCCAGTTCTAGCTGACCAGATGTTGAATTTCTTGAACTGAAATAGTTTGCCGCTGGTATGGCAGCAGTGCTTGGAACAACTTATACCTGTGAGCAAACATTCTCGAAAATGAAGTATGTAAAGTCAACAGATGGAACGAGACTAATTGACGAACATTTGAAGGCAATCCTGTTGATTGGAAGCAATCATTCCAAACCAAACATTGATGACATTTTGAAAATCGCGTTCCAGATTAACAAATCTCACTAATCACTTTGCTGCTTAGTTTGTCATCTGTATTATGCACAAAAATGTCAGTGACTAGCATTTTGCGTACGTCGTTCCCGTTGAGTATTTTAACTAATAAAGTTGTTGATTGCTTCCGTGTTTTTTCGGTTGCGCAACACTCATTTACGTTTAAGATGGAATGCCGAACTCAGTTTTTTTCTTTTATTTGCCCAAAGCCGTCATTTTGACCTGAAAGTGTTGCACAGAAATCTAATCCGGCCCACCGCGAAAAACGTTTGATGGTCCCTGTTCTACACAAACAAAGCCATCCAAACACAACAGAAGCCCCATCAGGTAATCTAATCAAGCATGATTCCGATGGTGGAGTATCGCCGAAAGTATCCACCAAACGAAGACAACGGCACGAGACTGAGACATAATAGGCACTGATTTGCCACTTGATGTTCTCTAGCAGTCGACCGGCGGTGGACCCAAAAAGGTTACATTGGTTAAAATGCTTCGGAACACTGGTAGCTCGGGTTGACGATTCAGTTGCTCATTTGTTCGCCGAGCTTGGAAGTTTGTTTGCATACATTTCGCCAATATGCGAGTTGTCATCGTCAGTGCGCTGATGTAAAGGGTGAAATCTTGCTGGCGTGGCTTGGACGTCGGCCGTGACTTGTGTTGGGACATGTGTCTCGAATTCGAATCGGCACGGTTAAAGTGACCTAGCAGCAAGACGTTGTACATTCGAGGTGACACCTAAAGATTTAGCCGACTAATTAGCCACGTCCGCCAAAAAATAATTGAACTACTCTGGAATTTCGAAAAATAAAATAACTGCTTTCTACGATTCTGCTGTAGATCAAGAATGGTAACATCCAGTTGGACTGTACCCCTCATCGACGAGGAGTATACGGTTGTTTCTTATCCGCCACTACTTAATATTTCTCCAGCAAAAGCATAGTGCAACATGTACATACATGATCTGTGTCAAATATGGACGCTGCTTCTCACTTACAGAGAAATATACCTATTATAATTATTTATTTACAGGATCCACCATTCACAATAATTAATGTTACTTGGTTCATCGAGTGAAACAATTCCAGATATAACATAGCTTAGATGAGCTATGTTCAATTACAGCCAAACTCCGGATCTCTGTTTCGAAACGTGGTCACAAACCGCAATCAAGCCCGTGAGAGCTGGTTTGGATTCGCTAGTGCAGAGGCAATCAAAGCATAGTTATCTTTTCGAACATGTTTGGAACGGTGGGCATGACCTAAGCAACCTGAAGGAATTAAGCGTAGACAATGACAACATAAAAATAGTAGGGGTGACACTCTTTTACACACCAAAAGTGGATCAGTTTGCCACCGTCAGTCACAAGCTCACTGGCATCCGTTATCATTCGCCGCTTGATAGTCATTTGATTGCGACGGGCCCTCGGATCCATTAGTCTATGTGTTAGCTGTACTGGCAGCGAGGAGACTATGACGGAAGAAATTGATTGACGTATCACAAAGGATGGATGCACCTACCCTTAAAACACATTTGGCGTCAGAATGGGGAAGGAAGCTACCTATGCAGGGCAGCAATGAGGATCGTTCTTTTTGCCAGGAGTAAGACAAGCGTTTGCGGTCTAAGGATCACGAGCTTATTCAGATACGTGGGCATAGTGGTCAAGAAGCGTTCCTCGTGTCAAGTGATACCGGTGTGTTGGTAGCGATTAAGCGCGGTGACGATCGTTGCGTCGAAATGGGTACTTTCGTCCACTAGACCAACAGTAGACTGAATATGCTTCGTAGTTGGTTCCGGTAAGTGCTAAGAATGCTCGACGACAGCTTAATGAGACAAGGCAGGCTCTACCTGTTGCAATTTGCACGATATGTTCCGAGAGGAAACGGAAGGGAATCACTGGTTTGGCTTCTAGCAATGAAGTCACTGACCACTACGTTGGGTGTTGTTTATTTATCTCCTCCTCGACACTAAAGTTCACGCGACCCACTCCGTACTTGGCTGGAGACAACTGAACAGGGCTACTAACGGGCAGCACCGGAGGTAGATTTGCACACATCTCTGATCACCATGTTTGTTTAATGTATGTGTGGAGCCGAGCTCGGTGGGGAATACGTTTTATTACGATGCAGGGTTGTGATGGTTGCAAGGAAACTATCTCTCCATTGTACGTTAGACTTCGGCAGCCGATTAGCAACTTGCGACAGCATAGTGTGGATGTACCTCTATTTTGAGTGTTTGCGTTTGGTATGTGGCTTTTAAATCAGGAACCCATCAAACCACCTTTCAATGCACATCTGCATGAGGACTAGTCAGAAGGACGAAATAATTATGTAATGTGGATAACATGGGTGATGATGATCATGATGACGGTCATCATGGTATCATCAATAACGGGGACAATACGCGTAGTAAAACGTATACAGTTTTTCCGAATGTAAATAGTGTCACCTTGTTAACCTTTATACTGCAAATCCCAAAGGTAAACAGTAACCTCAATAGGTGGATTTTAGAACACTCAAAAATTGTCCTTTACTTTTGTGGTGGAATTCTTAACAAGGAATGCAAGTTAAATCAGAAAGCTAGGATTAAGTCAATAACCCGGTTACCTGATGTAGATAATCCAATCCCTTCAGGCTGTAGTGAAGCACAGTGGCGAGTTCGTCTTCGTTTAATGTTCTGCCGCGTAATCGCATGATGTCTGCGATGGATCCGGCGCCACAGTACTCCATGCAAATCCACAAGTCTTGGCTATCAAACAGGCTCCCATAACACTTGACGATAAACGGACTGTCGCACTGTTGCATAATGGAAATTTCCTTGACGATATCCGTGAGGTCGCTATCTACGGGAACCTACAAAATAAGGTCCATAATTAGAAAATAAGCAGGACCAAACAGCCAGTTTAAAGAATTACGTGATTGAATAACCAGTGAAATAATTCATGAACCGTCTTGAAATCGGAATCGCGAGATCCATTGTCTCGCGCATTGGATAAATTTGCACATTCAAATGCTTGAGCGCGGGGCTAAGAGTGTAAGCCGAGCAGCTCTTCCGAAACTGTCCTTCGTGTAGATTCATTAAAACACACACCACTGATAATGCTTCCAATTCGTCGGATGGGAAGGAATTATTCGGAAAA